TACGGATCTCGACTGGGTGGCCCAATCTTTTCGGATATATATTACATTATCCGGTTCACCAGCGTTTTCCCGCGGATGCGACAACGGAGTGCAAGAAGCTGGCAACGGAGTGCAAGAAGCTGGCGACGGAGCGCAAGATCCCGGGCCTTGTGCGGAGATGGCGCCAGTGATGGAAGGTTGACGGAGCGTATGTGCGCATGTAGAGTCCTCTTCAGCTGCAGGACACGACCCGGAAGATGCAGAGGATGGTGCTGCTGCTGCTCGTCGAGAAGGTACGGCCGCGACGTCCATGGAGATACCCGACATGTGCTCGTAGAAAGCGTCCTCGGAGCCTATCTACGACATGATCAAGCAGCTTGCGGCTGACCGCAAGCAGGAGCGAGCCGTGGCGAAGTCGATAATGACCATGTGCGAGTGATCTCTCCGAGCTCCATGCAGGATCATGCGTTGCATGTGTAGGTCCAAGGAAGTGCTGCGCAAGAAGGACGACCTGTATCGCGCTAGCTCTATAACGATCCTCCCAAGCCGCTATGGACCAACTGGGTCGAGGACGTTGCCCCCGACATGATCGCGCATCATGTGGCGGCAGCTTTAACGCCGGCAAAGCCCCGAATCAACCTCAATGTACACGTTGGAGACGACGCCCATGTCCCATTATGGTATTCCGTAGAAACAAGCGGAACTTGCTCGAGTGCAACGAAGCTTGGCGAAGAGAGATTGAGCGTCTGCAAGGGCTTAAGGCGCGGCAGAGTCAACGTTTCGAAGAGACTTCTCTACTGGGTACGTCAATGAAGATCTTCCAGACGCATCAATACCATGCAGCAAATAGGTCGAAGGCGCCTCATGATAGCCCAGCAGGGGTACATAATAGTACCCCTGTAGCCTAGAACCTCGGCTGCAGCGACAAGCAAGAGCTTCGTGCACATGCTCAACCGGATACATGCTATTTATCCGGATTACGGGCGTACTTTCGACCACTGACTTGGATTACACGAGGAAAAGATACCGTTGGGAGGGCATGCCAAGCGCGACCGACGACGATGACTGGGCCCGCGCGGTCGTGGCCACGGACGTGCTCCGGAGCGGCAGCCTCCTAGCCAAGGCCTTCCGCGCGCGCGTTGCGGACGAGCCCGAGCTCGCCAAGCAAGGCGTCGCTGACCGCCTGAGCGCACTCATGAAGGAGGCCGCGCCGGTCCATGGCACGTTCGTCGGCGACGACCTCGAGCGCATTCGGTTGCTCGTGTTTTCGAAGGAAGCAAGTGCCGTGAAGAAGACCTTTGACGCGTCGATGCCATCGGCAGTGCTGCGCGAGCAGGCGCTGGCCGCGACGACGACGTCGGCGCAAGTTCACGGCGGCAATGACTTTCAGAAGCGCTACTACATTGAGAAGCACCTCGAGCTCATAGCGAAATGTCTCGCAGCGCCAATGCCGAGCGCAATTCATGCCCGCGACGCGGTGCCGTACGCCGTCTCGGCCCATGCACCGACGGACCTTCCGGAGAAGCTCTTCTCGCTCGCGTCCGGGCGTCTCCAGATCGAGATGCTCCAGTCGTTTCGTCATCTCAACCCCACGTTCTTCCAGAAAGGCATACGTATCTTGGTGCGCACGCTCTTGGACGGACCGCCGCTGGCCCTGCGCACGATTGCGCCCAAGACGGCCGAGGCAGCGATGCTCGACGACCTCTCGGCGCTGGCCCTCTCGACGCTGGATGGGTCTAATGTCGATGACACGGAGGCTGCGCTGGCTCTCTTGTGTGCGCTCGGTGTGGCGAGCGGTCGCGTTCGATACCTCCTGTCGGCCGCTATGGGGCTTTTGACATGGACGCCGCCGACGTTTCCTTCCGCAGCATTTGCCGCCGATGTCGATACCATCGTTGCACGCCTCGAAGCTCACTCGCTGGACTTTCCGATCGGTTTGGTGTCGGCACAGAGCACCGTGGGTCAATTCCACGTGCCGAACGACCGTGCGACGGCGCTGGCCACCGACGGGACGTATCTGTACATGTGGAGCGGCGACCTTGTCAAGGTTGGGAGCGGCTACCACGGCAGTGTGGCTGGTCACGTCTACGCGACGTCTCATGCATGGAGCACGCACCTTGGTGCCGACACGGTCGTCCAGTGCGCCCAACTCGTCCATGTCCAGTCGACGTTGCTCGTGGCCCTCGACGGCGTGCAACCGGATGGCACGGCGCGCTCGGTCCATTTGACCGTCCAGCCCGACACGATGTGTGTCGAGGTCGTGACGATCGATCGAGGCACCGCGACGCTTTGCACGGACGGCGTCCATCTCTTCGCAGTCGAGTTGCACGAGGCGGCGGTAGCGGTCCACGAACTCGTTTGCGCGGCGTCTGAGTGGGTTCGGTCGCCGCGCCCCTTGCTGGCAGGCACGACCTCAATGTCGATGGACGTCCAAGCTTTCTGGACGTCACCAGAGCCGTTTATGTGCGTCACGAATGGACACAGTATCGCGGCCTACCGTGTCGACGAGACGCGACTCCAGTGTGTTGCGATTAACTTGGCGACGGCCGAAGCCACGGCTGCCGTCTCGGCCGACTGCCCCCTCTCTGCCATCACGTTGGATCTACGCAACAACGTCTTCTGGGCGGCCACCGAGAAGTCGATCGTGTGCCATCGCAACGACGGTCCCCGGGTAGGGATGCCGCAGACCGTCGACAAGGTGGACGTCTCGGCGCTTCTCGCTTCGACAGCGAGCTCTTCAATCTCGGTTCTTGTCCGTCTCTTTGGCGTGTGCAACCGTGTTGTCGATGCTTACTCGAGCAACGATACTTTTTCCTCGACTGCACGTCTGGACGTGGCGTTTGCTGTGGATCTCTGCCCAAGTACCTTTGGCGACCTGATTGCTCTCGTCGAAAAACTCTCACGAAGCCCCGTCCTTGCGCCGTGGCAAGCATTCGTCGTCGAAGTGAGTCTCAAGCTGCTCTCGATCAACACGGCTCAATGGAGCGCTGCGCGCGAGTCGTTGCCAGACCACGGAGCCATCCGAGACCTTGTCCAGCGCAGTGGCTTGCGCGATGGCCTCAGAGCCTTGCTTGAGGCTGAATCCACACTACCACGCCTTCGTGACGCCTCTCGCCGGCTCTACGTGGCGTCGATCGACATGCTTTTTCCGACCGTGGACGCTCAATGGGCTTTGCTTGCGGCTTGCATTGCGACGAGCGACACAGTCGCGCTTCCGCTCGTGCAGCACATGGCGTCGCGGTCCAAAATGCAATCGCTTGTCGCCGGTGACATTTCGTTGGCGCTTCGAAGCTCGATCACGCAGATCGTGGATGCATCGGCGGCCTTCACGTTGTCCGAGCTGGATGGTGACACGACGTCGGAACGCGCCGATCTCGGCGCCGCACTCGTTCATCTCGTCTCGACGCTGCTGGACGCGGTCACGGCGACGTGCGAACGGCATGTATCGGCAACTGCGCACGTCATTGGTGTCGTTCTCGCCGCTTGCGACGCGCTGTGTGTACGTATCGCTGCGGCGCCAACCGCCGCCGCGTTGCAGATCCTCGAGTCGAGCGTGCTCGGGACCGTGGCCCCAAAGCTGTTTGCAATTGCCGAGTATCTTGTGGCGTCGTTGCCGGCGGCGACATCAGGTCTGAGCGATGTGGTGGCCGCCTTTGTGCCGTTGGCAATCGCGGTGCTCGAGCGCATGCAGCCGTTGTTTCGTGCTGTCGAAAGCCGCGATACGTTTGTCGAAACAAAGCACCGCGGGTGTACGACCGTCGTGTTCGAGTCGGAGCACGAGTACCGCAACGACATGCACGAAATCAAGGAGCTTCGTCTCGATGGTGCGCAGAGCATGACCATTGCGTTTGACAGCCGGTGTCGCTCCGAGTACAACTACGACTACGTCGTCTTTTACACGGACAAGTCGTGCACGACGTTCTACGGCGAAGACAAGTACTCGGGTCGCGACGGCTCGTTCAATTGGCCCGGCGTCGGGAATTTGCCGCCGCTTGTCATTCCGGCCGACCACTGCTTCGTGCTCTTTCACTCGGACGGGTCCAACACGGACTGGGGCTACAAGTTCACGGCTACTGCCGACGTGACGGAAAACAGCCGGTCGTTCGAGATGCATTGGCTCACGAGCCTGGAACAGTGTCTATTGGACGCGCTGCATAGCGTCGTTACGCTCGAGGCGACGTGGTGTCCTGTGGCGCCGTCCGAAAACGCACTCCACCGTGTGCTCGAGTCGGATCTGCTGCATGGTGGCATGGCAGCGCGACCGACCGATGCCAACGATGACGGCGTCGTGCAATTTCTGCACCAGCTCATCGACGCCACCGACGACGATGACAACCTGCCAAGTGCTGCTCGCGTGGCCCAGCTCCTCAAAGCCAAGACGCCCCAAGACCAAGGCTCCGTGCCGCACATCAACCGTGCGGTCCGAGCGGTCGCCGCGGCCATTTTGCACCACAACATGTGGAGCGTCGATGCCTATGCGCTCGGTCAAGGTCTCCGAAGCGATGCGAGCCCATCGCTTTTGCGGGCGTGGAAGAATGCGCAAAAGATGCGCAACTGGTTTGATATCGGTGACGCGCAGCGCCCGCTGCAAGCTGTGCCCGCGTCGACGCCGACGTTGCAGCGCCAACCGTCGGCGTTTGCCGGTGCGTCCGAAGCCGCGCTGAGAACACTGTGTGCCAACGTCGAGGCGCGCGCGCGCTTCCTTCTTGCGCTCGGACCCGCGTCGTTTAGCCTGGCAGCGGCGACCGACCCAAACGCTGCGACCAAGCGCTGGCAACTCCTCGCCAAGTACGGCGTCGCGCTCCAGAAAAGCGAGGACCCGGCCTCGATCGTCGCCAAGTGGCACACGCTCGTCGATGAAGTTGAAGCCGCAACGCAGCTGCAGCAGCTGATGCTGTATCGCAAGAGCTCGGCGGGTCGGACCGACAGTCGCCACGCCAAGACCATGACGGAGCTGGTTCTCGAGTTTGTGCAGAGCGACGTCGACATTGTTGCGCTTCAGGCGGCTATCGAGATGCGCAACCAACGCGCGACCCTTCGACGCCGTAGTCTGGACATTGTGGCAACGGCGATGGCGACGACGATGAACGCCCGCTTGCGTCACGTGTTGCTATCCCGCTGGGCGTCGTCGCTTCGGGGGCTCGATCCACGACGTGTCCACGTGCTCAACCACTTGGCAGGGTGCGGTGCCGACGCCCGCAGTGCCGTCGAGCAAGCTCACGCCGCGCTTCTCATGCCTCTCCAGCACTTGCTTGCGTGTGCCGATCCGCTCGTACAACTGAGCGCGCTGCAGTGCCTTGCGCAGGACTTTGCATTCCGCGACGGCGACATGCTCGTCGCGAGCCGCGTCGTGTCGGCGGTGTTCTCGCTGCTGCAGGCGCCTACGCCAAGTGTCCGCGCGGCAGCGCAAGCCGTCGTTCGCATTCTTCTCGAGCGCTTTGTACAAGTTGACAAGCGTGGCGACATCCAAGCCCACATTGCAGCGTGTGTGGCGGACTACACGATGACGTTGACGACGGTACCGTCGTGTCGCTTTCTCCCGAGCCATACCCCGGGGCAAAGCGTGGTGACGCCGACGCCACTGCCCAGCGTTGGGTTTTGGATGTACATCCCCGAGATACCATCCGTTCGACTGCGGGAAGGTAACCTGGTCAAGCACGGACCGCAGTGGCGCGACGCAACGCCAGACAACGCAGCTGTCGGTGTCGTCACGAGTATCTTCAACGATGTGAATGTGGCGGTGCGCTGGCTGCCGCGCGTCGGCAACAAGGAGGTCCACGGGTGTCACGTCTACGACGTCGGTGCCAAGACGTTTGAGATTGTCCCACTGCACCTTGACGCCAGCGGCCAGATCTTGCTCAAGGCGCACGTTCTCGGCGACTCGTGGTTGCACCGGCTTGTCGGTTTGGCCCTGACGCAGACCTACCACCTGGATGTGGCACTCGCCGATGGCACTGCGTTGGCTGTGCATGTGCAGACGCCGGAGCCGTTGATGCCAGAGACGTGGTACCACGTCGGCTTTGCGGCAGCTGACACGGAGTCCGACTACTCACTGTACGTTGACGGAGCACCGGTGCTCGCGTTGCCGCTCAGTATGCACTTGCAACACCACGTTCGCAACGAAGCACGTCTTGTGGAGTCGCTGCATCCGTCGGTTGTCAAGGGCTGGCAGTACGTTGCAGTGACCATTGACGGCGCCAGTGCGCTCCAGGTCGCGTTTGATGCTCAAACTACGACCGGCGGCGACGACGACGCGTGCTACTTGGTGTTTTATCGCGACGGCTTGCACACAAGTACGTGGGGCGATGCGCGGTATACGTCCAAGCACAACCTGCCCGGCGTCGATGGCAACAGGTAGGCCTCGTACAACGTCATTGAATGATGGCAAACGCCGTCCTAGTCTACTCGACATTGCGGCTGGCACGTTTGTGCTGGGGTACTACACAAGCGAGGCAAGCGCCGACCTATGGGTATCTTTTCCATCGCATTCGACTGCTCATCGTGTTTCCGCTGTGCCAATAGGGCTTCCGATTGTGGGTTTATGACGCCGATGTGTCGGTGCGCGCGTTGCCAGTCTCGCGTCTGTACGTGGGCGAGCCACCGGGGCGCGTCGGTGCCGAAAAGGCGGCGGGTTGCTACATGCATGACTTGGACATTGCGTGGCGCCCGCCATCGACGCCTGACGCCGTTGCCATTGCGCGTGCGACACTGCCGGATCCTACGACAACGACGCAGCATGATGTGCCGTGGCACGTTCTTGGTTGCATTTTGGCGTCCGTGCACGGATCGCCAGATGCTGCGCGCCAGGTGCTGACGCCGACAACCTTTCAGCGTCTGCTCGAGTGTGCGTTTGCGTCGGCGCACCCAGTCGAGCTTCGGTGTGCGGCGACATACGTCGCTGCGCAGAGCCTCGTGCTGCACCCACATAGTGGCGTCGCATCGGCACTGCTGCAAGAGTACGTTGATCGTGCGATGCAGTTTCTGATCGTGGACGCCAACCCGTGGGCTCCGACGGGCGGCGTCACGATGGCGCCGGCACATGCCAGTCTTGTCGGTGCGGCGTATGCAACGTTTCTGCGGGCCGCGTCGACACACCCGGTCGTCGCGTCGTCAATGGAAACAAAACTCAAGAGCAGCTTGCGGCTTGAGCACGGTGTCGGGTGCGCCCTTGCCGCTGCGTGGGTTCTTGGCGGCGACTACGACCATGCACACGTCGGCACGCGCATCAAGACGCTCGACATGCGGGACAACCCCGAAGGAACGATCGAGGGTGGCTACATTGTCAGCATCGACGTCGTTGGCGACGAGCGCGTCGCTAGAGTGCTCTTCGACTTGGACCCTACCCGCATCGAGTCGTTGCGCCTCGACGCTCTCCACCTAGATCCGGCACCTCCAGCGTATGTTGACGTCGCCCAGCGGCTCGTGAGCGCTTGCGCGCCCGAAATTCTCGATGCAATCGAGGCGGCGACGCAGTTGGTGTCTCCGTGCATGATGGACGTACGAGCGCGGCTGCTCAAGGTACTCGGGCGGCTCTGTGAATCGCCGGCAACGGTGGCGTCGCTCTTGCCGCCGTTGCTGTGCCTTGCCAAAGCCACACCGTCTGGAGCCCCGATGGCAGTCAAGCCTGTTTGCAAGGTACTCGAATCGACGCACCCGTACAAAGACTCGATCGACGTCTACGAGACCGTGTCTTTCCCAGGCGCCACGAGCTGCCGAATCACCTTTGACGCGGCTTCGCGCACGGAGAAGGACTGCGACTACATAACGTTTTACAAGGACAATGACAAGCGCGACGCGTTTTGGGGCCTTGAACGCTACTCGGGTCGCGACGACGCGGTGTGCTTTCCTGGCGTTGGTGACGAAGCGCCGCTCGTCATCCCTGCCAGTCATTTTACGTACTATTGGCACACGGACAGCTCCAACAACGACTGGGGCTGGCGCTTTACCGTGCAGGCCGTCTTTGAGCCCGTGGCACCATCATCGCTGACGATTCCGCAGCTCAACCAGCGACTCTGCCACCTCTCGGAGATGCTGCTGGAGCTCCCGCCGCACGCCGACGCTCACGAGGTCGCTGCGACACCGTCGGCCGTCCCATTCACGGTAGCTTCGAACGCACATGGCGCCGTGGAGATTCCCGACGTCTACTTTGACGAAAGCAGTACGAACGACTGGGTCGTCGTCGCTCGCAAAGACGTCGATGTACTGCCGGCCCCGGATGCAACGTCGAGCACCGGCAGCCTTCACCGTGGCACCACCGTGCACGTGCTCGATGTCTCGAGCGAGTGGGTGCGCATTGCGTCGCTAGACGGTACCAACGTCGTCGGCTGGATCCCACGGCGCATCAACAACGAACGAACATTGGCGCAACCAACGACATATGCTCCGCTTGAGCATGGGCAAGCGTTCGTCGGCGCCACCGAAAGCAGCGAAGCGCAGGTACCGCCCGAGCTCGACGCTGGTGACACTGTCTGTGCCGTCGAGTCTCACTTTGATGTGTCGACGATCTATGCTGTCGCGACCCGGCGACCGCACGATCTCATGCGCGACCTCCTCGAGAGCTTGGGCGTACAGTATGCCCGAGCTTGTTTGCATGCGTACGTGGCGTCCGAGCGTGCCGATGCGTTGCCCGTCGACGTCATCCTTGGCCTCGCTGACCTCGTCGTCAACAGCGAGCCACCGTCTCCGACGTCGGCGCTCAGTACGCTAATACAACGCCTCGTCGCGGCTGACAGTGCGTTTGGGGATGCTGTCGCGGCGGCGTGCACCCGTGCGATTGCCCAGAATCTCGCGGTGCTGCCCAAACAACCGCGCGTGCACCGAGTCGAGAGCTTACTACCCAACTACCATGAGCGCATCTGCTTTCCCGGCGCGTCGACGATCCGAATCGAGTTTGACGGGACGACGCACTGCTCCGACGACGACGGCGTTGTTTTCATCGGTCGGGACGGTGCGATCCCCAATGGACCGTACTTTGGTTCGGCAGAGAGCGGGAACTGGCCCGGCGTCGGCGACAAGCCGCCGCTACTTGTTGCATCCGACACTGTCCACGCGTTCTTCCGCGCAGACGACGAGAGCCCCGAAGCGCTGATTGCGTTTACAGCGTACGACAATGCCACCGGCACCACGACGACCCAGGACGTGGATGCCCTCCTTGCGTCGCTCCGGCTGCACACGTGGGTTCTCTCGCAAGTCGGCTGCGTGCACGTGTCGAACATCACGCAGCTGCTCGATGCAACGTGTCAGTTGTACCAAGCAGCGCCCGAACGCCTGCAGCTGCAAGTGCTCGATCTCTGGTCCACTTGGCTTCAAGACGACGCAACCCGCGTGTTTGAGCAGCTGGCGCCGATGTGCGTCCACAGGTTCCTCGCCTTTCTCAAGACCAAGTTATGGGCGCAGCACAAGCTGGAAGAAGCGCACACTACCAAGTCGATCTTGCTTCGTCGGCTCTTTCAGTGCGTTGTTGACGCCGACGAGCACCTCGAGTTGTACCTCTTGTCGATGGCAGCGGCGCCATTGGCAGCGTGGGCACCAACAACCAACGTTGTTTTGACGGACGACGGGTCACGCGTCCAGAAGGTAGCTGCAGGCAGCGCGCCGACGATCGTGCGCTCGACCCAAGGGGTGACGGCCGGGCTACATGTCTGGAACGTGCTCGTCGTTTCGGCGCAAGCGCACGTCGTCGTCGGTCTCGTCACGGACATTGGCGAGCTTACGCTGTTGCACGCGTGCCCGGTGGACGCAGTCACCTTGAGCGCGAGCGACGTTGCAACCATCGAACTCAACTTGGAGCGACAGGAAGTGCGGTATTTGCGCAACGGCGCCTATGTATACGCTCGCCATGTGGTAGCCGGGCAGATGTACTACCCAGCTGTGCAACTTGCGAACGCAGAGGACACGGTCGTCCTTCAGACGTCACAGCCGCTGCAGTGGCTACGCACCGTGCAATCGATCAACCCGCCGTGGTATCAACGCGCCGTTGCGTCGCTTGGGCTGCTCAAAGGCTTCCACCGGCGCGCCGATGTCCCAAGCCGCTTTAGTACCGAGACACCCGGTTCCGTGATCTTGGCCACGGTGGTGCGAGGCGTTGACTGGGCGTACGACAACGAAGATGGCGGCGTCGGCAACGTCGGTATCGTGATCACGAAGGAGCCATGGTGTGGTCAGCCCGACGCTGCCGTGCGAGTGCAGTGGCTTCACGACAAATCGACGGGACTCTACCGGTTCGGCTACTGTGGTCTCTACGACGTGTTGCCAGCAGCGGTGTTTCCCCCATTGACGCAGCCGAGCACCGACGTTGCCAGTGGCTTCGTCGCCCTCGACGGACCGGTGCACGTGACAATTCCGAGCTTACCATCGATCCACGGCGACTGGACGGTCCAGCTCTGGCTTCGCCGCGACGGCAAACATGCTGAGGCACAGGTCCTTCTTCACATGTCAACAGATGTCAACTGGTGGCTACGGCTGGCGATCGACTCGAAGCGCCGCCTGCAGCTGATTGTGCACGCCGGTCAGTCGCAGCAAATTACGTGCCCCCACGTGCTCGCTCTCGATGCCTGGACACGCGTCGACGTCTGCGCCTTTGGCTCGGCGATTGCGTTCCACGTCAACGGAGACCTTTTGCACCACGACCGTCTGCACGCCAAGCTGCAATGCGCTCCTGCAACCTCGACAACGCTGCACCTGGGCGCTGGCGATGACGATGGCAGCAAGCCGTGGTGCGGTCACCTTTCGCATGTCCGGCTCTGGGATGCTCCGATGTACATGCAGCAGTACTATGTCGACGTGCTAAAACGGCAGTACAACTCGGTCGATGTCGGCGAGCCAGCGACGTTCGAGCAACTGGCTTTCATGGCGGCGGCGGTAGGAAACCCATCTCTGTGTGACGATGCTCCTACCATATCTCTAGGCACCGAAAGAGTTGTCGGACGGCACACGGGCGCTTCTGAAGTCGTACCGAGCTTTTACGTACGTCAACCGCCACGGCGACTTTGCGAGTTTGCGGCCGCAAGGAGTCGGTGTCTTGACTCCGAGCTGTGCGCATGGCAAGGTGTACTACGAGCTCACGCTACTGCGTTGCACGTGCCTTCAGCTTGGCTGGTCGCTTGGTGACTGTGCGATTTCGTCGCGCGACATGGGCATTGGCGACTGCAACCGGTCGTTTGGTGTCGACCTGTGCCGCCAAGCCATGTGGAACGAGGAGAAGACGGCCATCTCGGAAGCTATTTGGCAGCCTGGCGACGTTTTTGGCTGTCTCCTCGACTGGCACGCCGGTGTCATGACGTTCTCGCTTAATGGCCGTGTCCTCGCCAACGTCGCCTTCCACTGCAATAGTGGGGTGATGGCGCCAACGTCTCCGAAGGATGGTACCGCCAGCAGCCAGTGGAGTCGAGACGGCGACGAAGACGATAGCGACAGTGGTGACGACGAAGTCTCTGGCGCGGATGATGAAGAGAATGCTGACGATAGCGACTCTGGCGCGGATGAGGAAGAGAATGCTGACGATAGCGACCACCACAGTAGCTGCTCCTTCAAGCGCTCTGATGTCGAGAGTGCGACCATTGCTGCCGAAAGCCCGCCGTTGGTGTCCGCGATACCCGCAATAGTGACCTCCGAAGCGACGCCCAACACCAGTGTGACAGACGACCAGTACGCCGGAAGCGCCTGGCTCGCGCATGGTGGCATCTTCCCATCCGGGTCCTTCTTGACTGGCGACGGCGCAATCTGGAACCTCGGTCAACGTCCGTTCCGCTACCTCCCCGACGACTACGTCTCGGTGCTCGAAGCTGCGGGCGTCCCGTGCAACGCCGTGGTGCAGTTTGAGATCTTTGATTTTGAAGAAAATGGCTGGCAGCCCGTGGCGTACCGTCATGGTGTGCACGACGTGGCGCCACGATTGCTCGGTGCCTGGATTGATGTCGCTGGCACCGAGCGTGCCGTGTCCGACACGTCGCGCTTTGAGCAGCACGGCACGACGATGTGTGCGCCAACGTGGTCGATCAGCGGCCCAAAGGTCTCGATCCCGCGCCCTCTTCCTCTTTGCTCCCCGCGGTTCCAGTCGTCCAACGTGGCCATGTCGGCGGCCCACGCCAAAGAGAACGAAGAGCTCGTGCGCTACATCAACGACGTTTGCAGCGCGCGCTCACTGACGTCGGAGGTGCTCTTTGCATTGCCGTGGACCGAAGTTGCACCAGAGGAGACGGCGCTCGTTCGGTGGCCGCTGCTCGCCAAGCTGCACGACGTGCCGTCGACCGAGCCAACGTCGCTCTCAGCACGCTTTGCCTTGCTCGTGTCTTTGAACAAGGTCATGCTCGGGCTTCTTCAGTACGTCGATCTCGTGGTCGACGATGGCCCGCAGACATTGGTGTCGCGTCTCACGGCTGCACGCAGTCTCCTCTTTCACGTACTCAAGCGCGAGCTCTGGGACGTACAGTTGACAGCAACCAGTGTTTCATCCACGGAACGTCCGCTCACGCTCAACCGCCCGAAAGCAACACGTGGACGGCTTGGATCGAACGGGACAAACCCGTTTGCTCTTTTTGCACAAGCCTACCGCGTCCTCGGGTTGTGGGACGCGACGTGTTATCGGTCGACCGGTAATTTGTACAAGGTGACGTTCCTCGGGGAGAATGCCGTCGACGGCGGCGGTCCGTACCGGGAGACGTTTACCGAGTTTTGCGCCGAGCTGCAGAGCCCCCAGTTGCCGTTGCTTCTTCCGACGTCGAATGGCCAGCACAACGTCGGGCACTGCCGCGACGCTTACGTCTTGCACCCGCAGGCGCACGTCCAGCACAGCTCGATGCTCGTCTTTCTTGGCAAGCTCCTTGGCGTTGCAATTCGCACCAAGGATTGTCTTGGCTTGACGCTGTCCCAAGTCATTTGGAAGCTCCTCGTTCGCGACGTGGTGACGCTTGAAGACCTTGAAGCCGTCGACGCGCTCATTGTCAACTCGATGCGGGCGCTCCGAACGATCGACGCGACGGGTGTCACGGCGGCGCAGTTTGCCGACGTCATTGACGAGACGTTTACGACGCTGTCGACCGACAACCGCACAGTAGCCCTCCGCCCGCACGGCGACACGATGGTGGTGACGTTTGAGAACCGATGCGAGTTTGCAGACGCCGTCGAGCAGTTTCGGTTGCACGAGTTTGATGCGGCGGCAGCGTGCGTCCGGCGCGGCCTCGGCATGGTCGTGCCGCTGCGGTACCTCCGACTCTTCACATGGCGCGAGCTCGAGAGTCTCGTGTGCGGGTCGCCCGACGTCGACATTGACCTGCTTCAGCAGTGCACCGAGTACAGCTCGTGCAGTGCGTCGGACCAGCATGTCGTTTGGTTTTGGGACGTTCTCCGGGCGTACAGCCACGACGCCCGTCGCGCCTTTCTGCGGTTTGTCTGGGGCCGGTCGCGGCTGCCGCGGACGCTGCCCGAGTTTCAAGCTGGGCAGCAGTTTAAGCTCACGGCGTTTGACCGGCGACCTGCCGACAGCTATATGCCCGTGTCGCACACGTGCTTCTTCTCTCTCGAGCTGCCGCGCTACTCGACCCACGCCATCTTGGAGGCGCGCTTGACGTACGCCATTTACAACTGCCAAGCCATTGACGGAGACGGTGACACGATGGCGGCCAACCAGCTCGGCTGGGAAGACTAACTGATCCATATATACATCATGCCACCCATTCGCTCTTTGGTTGTGGGGAGAAGGCGTCGTCAGTTGGTAACAAGTCATGTTGTACTGACACGGAGATAATTGAGACATTGTATAGTGTGTGGGACGTTGGACAATGATTCGATTTGCTTGTCACGTTGCGATCTATGACACACACTCTAAAAGCGAGACGCATTCCTGCAGTCGTCAGTTGACAGCCAGTCATATGGCTCCGCGTGTCATGCCTCGAGGTCCGCGACACGTACTGGTTCGACAAGGGCAGTCATCTTTCATCATCTCGGGGTATCTATCCTACCAAACTAAGGGTTCGAGCGAATATGACTGTATTGACGATGTTATTCACTACTCGTAGTACTCATGAAAGGAAGAAAGGACAACATGGCGCACGAACAGCGGCGCGCGAGAGACAGGATCTGCCGCTTACAAGGCCTGGCCAGAGATGGAGTTGTAGCCGCGGCGCTGGCGCGTCGTGAAGAACCCGACGAGGAACATGACGCCGACACCGCCCGAGGCCGCGGCCGCGAGTGCGTACGACTTGTTGCTGGCGAGCATGGTCATGAACGAGATGCTCGATGTGGTCGAGTAGTCGGGGTAGCTGCCGGGAATGTTGTTGGCGTTGGCAAACTCGTGGCACGTCATACCGCCGTTGAGCGACGGCTGCGTGATCTCGCCCGAGACGGGGTCGATGGCGCAGTCGACAGCGCACGTCTTCTGCTCTTCGACCAAGCACTCGTCGTTGCGGCCGCCGTTCTGCGCCGGGTATAGGACGTTGATGACGCGGCGCGAGAAGCCCTGCGCGCTGCAGTCCGACCACGCGCCCCACGTGTCGCCCGGCATGCAGTCGACGACGCACTTGTCGTGCTTGGTGAGGTCCTCACACTTGCGGCCACCGTTGAGCGGCGGCGTGAGGATCGAGCGGGTCGAAACCACCTTGCCCGCGAGTTCACCTTGTACGTTGCACTGACCCGCGCTCCATTCCGAGAGGACACAATGGACCGCGCACGTGTCTTGCACGACGAGGTTGCACGCGAGGCCGTTCTGGGGCGGGTACAAGTACGTCGCCGTGCCGGTGCGGAGACCCGTCGTCGCATCACACTCCGAGTACGAAAAGTCCGAGACGATGTCGGCGCACGAGCCACAGCCCTGGTAGTCGACGAGCGTGCCGCACGCAGCGCCGCCGTTGTACGATTGCTGCAAGACCGAGCGCGTGCGCGTCTGCTGCTGTGTCTTCAAGTCGCACGAGCTCCACTCGGACCAGTCGCTGAGGACGCAGTCGACGTTGCAGTCGGTGTAGCGCTCGAGGTCGTCGGGGCACTGGGCGCCGCCGTTGCAGTGCTTGGTCGTGATGGAGCGGGTCGAGCGCTGCTTGCCGGCGTGGGCACCGCTGAGAATGCACTCGTCAGGGACGCTCCAGTCGCTGACTTGGCAGTTCTGCGTGCACGTGGGGTCGGTATCCGTGAGCTGGCAGGTGCCACCGTTGATGGCCGGCGCGATTTCCGTCCGGGTGCGGCTGCACGTGCACGAGTCGTCCGGCGCGCTCCACGGTGTCCACTCGCTCGCCATGCACGTGACGGCACACGTCTGGGTTTCCTGCGTCGGCGGGCACTGGTTGCCGCCGTTTTGCATCGGGATCAGGACCTTGCGGTTGTGGACCTGGAGACCCGTGCATTCGTCGCACTCGCTCCACTCGCCCCAGTTGTCCATGACGCAGTCCACCGCGCAGTCGCGCACTTGACTCGTGGCGCACGGCTCCTGGTCTGCCGTCGGCGGGTTCACGATCGCACGCGAGCGCGTCTGCGTTGCCGTCGTCTGGTCGCACACCGACCACTCACCCCACGGGTTGTGGGCATGGTCGCAGATCTCTTGGCAGCTGCGCTTCTCGGACGTTGGGCCCGCGGCTTGGCCACCGTTGCACGCCGCGTTCACAATTTCGCGGGTGCGCGTTTGGTGGGCCGTGGCGTCGCACGCACCCCAGTCGCCCCACGGACCCATGACGGCGTCGAGCGTGCAGGGCTCGGTCTTGTAGAGGTTGCAGACCTTGCCCGCGTCGCGGATCGGGTACACCATGGTCGTCTCGCTGACCAGCGTGCACGAGTCAGGCGAGCACTTGCCTTGCGTCCAGTCACCCGTCTCGCACGGCTCGGGGCACACGTCGCCGGTGCAGCGGCAATCACGCGTCTGCTGAAGCTCGCCGCAGTCGGAGCCGCCGTTCTTGGGGTTTTGCGTGATCGAGCGCGAGCGCGTCGACTCACCCGTCGACGGGTTGCAGACCCAGTCCGACCACGCACTGACTTGGCAGTGGACGGCGCACGGCTCCGACTTGGTCAAGGCCGTGTTGTGGGCGACCGAGTCGCAAGGCTTGCCGCAGTTGATTTCCTTTTGGAGCACCTCGCGCTTGAACGCTTGGGTCCCCGTCATCGCGTCGCACGCGCCCGACGGCGTCCATTCGCCGAGCTTGCAGTCGATGTTGCACGCCTGCGTGTCGACGGTCGCGCACTGGTTCTGGCGCAGTGCCACCGTGAGACGCACAAAGTTAGCGTCGACCGGCACATGGCGCGTGCGGGTGTACGTGCCCGAGACAGGGTCGCACGTCGAGTACGGTCCCCACGCGACGCTGCCGCACGCCGGGTTGCAGTCCTGCGTCTGGAGCGCCGGGCACGACTTGCCGTTGTTGCGCGGGTACTGCGAGACAGAGTACGACCGCGACTGCGTCGCCGACGTCCCGCTGCACTCGGTCCACTCCTCCCAGCTGCCGTCGCAGTCGATGTTGCAATCGCGCGTTTCGGTGGGTGGGCCCCAGAGCGTCGGGCAGTCCTTGCCGCCGTTGAGTGCAAGCGTCGTCTCGGAGCGCGACCGCACTTGGGTGCCCGTCGTGGCGTCGCACGTCGACCACGCGGTAAAGTCCGAGTAGAGGCAGTCTTGGGGACACAAGGTGCCGTGGCACGCCTGCTTGTCCTGCTGAATCTCGCAGCCATTCGTCACGGCGTTCTTCTGGCCAATGCCGTTGAGGTACCGAACCTGCTCGCCGAGGCCGCACTCGGCCGAGCAGTTGCTCCACGGCGACCAGTGCTTCTCATCGCCGTACAGCTTGGAGCAGATCGGTGGCATGTAGCCTTCGATCTTGGCGATCAACACCGGGTCCGAGATGCCTCGAAGTTGGCTTGGGTCGTACGCCGCCGCCGACACATAGTGTGCCAGGGCGATCGTGGCGAGTGAGAGCGAGAGGCGCATGTTGGCTGCAAGAGGCTCTAGAGTCGGAAGGCGCCAATTGCAAAGTGAGACTTGGAGGCCGCACCGATGTACAGGGCGATGGATAGATACGCGAGATGGTGCTTTTGTATCGGGTCCAGGGCTAGGGCAGCGAATGGTCGCGTCGAAGGTTTCACCGAGTTGCATCGGCGAGGTACGGGTGCCAGCAGTGACCGGTGAATACTTGGATCAAGATTGCCGGAAGGTTACGGAGGCTTCTCTATGGCTGGAAAGGCGGGAGCGTACCAGCGACCATGGGTCTGCATGCATGCAGCGTGGTTGAGGTGCATGCACATGACACAGCAAGCTCATCGTCGCTCAACCAATAAGTACACAGAACTGGCCACTACATTTATACATCGCAGCAGAAAGTATATAAAGGCATTAGATATGGCGGTCTGTCCCGTCTTGACCTTACGGTGCGGGCTTGGTCTCGGTCTCGGGGTCCATGTCGCCACCTGCAAGGTTGAGCTTCTCCATGATTTCCTTGAGGCCAGCTTCCGACGTCTGGCTGCTCGCCATAAAGATCTCGCCCATGATGAGGAGGCCCTCGGCACGCTTGACGCGATCCTTCGCCGAGACGCCCGAATCCTTGAGAAGCTTGAAGCAAATGTTGCGCAGCGTCGACTCGACGTCGACGACCGTGTAGTTCCAAGCAATCTCGAGAACGCTCCCAAACGTTTCTTGCTGCAGCTTGCGCGACATCTCTTCCATGCGCTTAACCTTCTCCTTCTCCAAGTCGTCGTCCGACGTCGCCGGCTCGGTCGGCGCTTTCGTTGGCGTCTCGAGCTTCTTCTTGGCCTCGGCCTTCTCGGCCTTGTCCATCTCTTGGCCCGCCTTCCGAGCGACCGAGTAGGCGTTGACCGCCGACGAAACGACGCGGTACTTGGTCGCGAGTACGTGCGCCGACTTGGCCACGTTCTTAAAGCCGAGGCCGGCCGCGATGCTCTTCTTGAAGCCGAGGTGCTTGAGCGCCTGCTCTTCATAGACGTAGCCGACGACGCCAATCAGTGTGCCGCCAAAGGCCGTCGACGCGAGCTCCGACGCCGTCGCCGTGATCGACGTGCGAAAGCTAATGTGGCCCTCGGACGCGTCTTGGAGGTACTGGTCGAGAAGCGAGGCGAGGTATACGGCGCACTGCACCTCGCGCTTCTTCTGCTTGAGCTTGATCAGATCGGTTTGGCCAAAGAGGTGTTCGGGCTCAATCTCGGCCGCGTCGTTCTCGTTCATCTTGCCAAACTGCGACTGGAGCGTCATGAGGTTGAGCTCGCCGACGAAGTTTTCAAACGCTTGGCTGCCGAAAATCATCTCGTAAATCTGGCTGTTGTCCATAAAGAGCTGCGTGTCGACGCCGTCCTTGCCGTGCTCGTCATAGTTGGCACGCGACGTCGGGTCCGAGAGCACTTGGTACGCAGCACCGAGCTTCTGAAACTTCTCCGACGCCGTCGGGTCGTTAAGGTTCTTGTCCGGGTGCAACTGCATGGCGAGCTTCCGGTACGCCTTCTTGATCTCGACGTCCGTCGCGTTCGTGGCCACGCCGAGCTGGTCGTAGAGCTCAGTCTCCTTGACCGCCTTCGCCGGCGCCGCGGCCTCGGGCTCGTCAGTCAGCACTGCCGCGGCTTCCTCGGCGAGGCTGTACAAATACCATTCGTTCGTCTCCGAGTTCCAGACCTTGTCTTCGTTCGAGCTCTTAATGGCCATCGGCGTGTTGGCAATGCCACGCGCGATCTGCGTCACGCCCGTGACGGCGCCGCCACCGACCATCTACGTGACAAGAACGTGTCAATGAAAATGAGGCTCGAGGCAACTGCATGGCACATACCACGACCGCCGAGACCGTGCCCATAGCGAGGCCCTTGGCGAAGCCCATGACGCCTTGTTCCTTGGCGCCAACGATCGGCATGCCCACAAAGGCGCCAACGCCGCCAATGAGGCCCTTGCCCATGTTCTTGAGCCCGGACGAGAGGCCCGCGGCTGCGTCGCGAGGGTTGCGTGTCGAGAAGATATCGCCGACCGAGATGTTGTCCTTGCCATTGACGTCGTCATATTCGGGCTGCCCGGACGTGAGCTTGAGCGGCGCGCCCGGCGGCCCGGCCTCGTGCGAAGAGTTGTTGGAGCTCATGGGAGAAGTCTTCGAAGTGGGCGAAAGCATCAACTTTGACAGCACTTGATGTTTGTATACCATACGGTCCGAAACCACCCGCCAAAAGTCCTACCGGAAATCTCCGGATCGCGACGGCCGGAGTCGGAAAGGCCAGCATCTCCCATGCGCTTCTCCCACACATACTTGTAGCGGTAAGTGCCACGCGGTGCAGGCGCATGAGGGATATGGCCGTGGCCGTCACGTACGCATGGTCAAAGCGACAGTGTTTCATAGTGGATATTTCTTGCGTGGCATTCGACCCGGAGCATGTACAGTATTAGTAGGGGCACTGGTGTAGAGGAAGCACTGTAGAGACAGGGTGCTTTATTTGCGTCAAGCGGAATTTGACTGGTGCATCAAGCTCGTGGTGTACATACGGGACGTCGAGGAGGTCCTTCTGGGCCTTGTCGCTTGCAAGCAGAATACTTGCTCCAGCTGCTTGGTCCCCGCAAGAATGAAGCAGCTGCCGTGTTGACGCAACGCCCGTCCTCGATTTAATAAACATGTCACGTTCACATCTTGTGTTTTGTAGGCGGCATTGATTCTTTCTTTGAATTACAAGTGGGCCCGTTGACGAGCATCAAGAGGCCCGGAAAAGGTTTCCGGTAGGACATGTCCGAATTGAACCGAGACGGGATTGGACATGTGCGCGCGTCAGGGCGGATGCCCACGTCGACACATGCACCAGACAATCGGCCATGAGGCCAACCCACGCCTGGTCGACTGCGCCGTCTATCAGCGCGATGCACTCGAGCTGGATACGCTTTTGAATGTACAAGATACCGAATATCGAAGCTGGTCATGTCGTACTTCGAAGCGGCGACCGCACCTGTGAAAGATACGCTTTTTTCACCACAGGCCGGCAAGCGATGGACGAGACGCACTGGGTGCGCACGTCCTTCGCCGCCCTCCGGGACGAGACCGTGCTTCTGGAACTCTATAGCTCGCTGCAGGAAGGGTCCATTGACGAGGCGCCGGCGCCGGCAACCGCCACGAGCGCGCATGGCATCACCATGTCGTGGGACGAGCTGCACCAAGACGCGGACGTGGCGCGGCGCCTCTTGTTTGCGAGCAAGTCGCCGCTCACGGACGCGCAGGCCAAGGCGAAGCAGGCGTCGCGGGCCAAGACAGGCCGCGGTGCCTCGCTCGTCCTGCGCGAGTCGGCGCTGCTCGGCGAGTGCCCCGAAGCCACGGCCAGTTTAAAACGACAGGAGCGAAGAAGAATGCGCTGTTTGCTCGCATGCTGGTCGCCTACGACAAGTGCGTGGCGGCCAAAGAGGTCGAAGCAGCGCCGGCTGAGGTGCCGCTCGCGCATGTACCCGTGCTGGCCCCGACGGACGCCGCCGACGAGGCGGCGCTGGCGAGCAAGCTCTTCTCGCTCGCAAGCTGCCGCATGCAGCTCACCATCATGAAGGCGCTCGGCGAGCACGTGCAGAAGGAGTGCCTTCGCGACATGGTCGGGTCGATCCTCGATTTCCCAACCATGGCGCTCTCGCATGTCCGCCGCCACTCGCCCGAAGACGCGACCTTGGCTACACTCTACAGCTTTGCGCTCAGTACGCTCGACGCAAAAGACACGATGGCATCGGACGCAATGGACGAGCATGTGCTGCTCTTACTTGCGCTGGGCGTAGCCAGCGGCCAGCTGCACTTTCTTCTGCCCGCGCTCTCGACGCTGCTGTTGGCGCCGCCGACCGCGACGCCGACGCCTATCTGCGCGCCGCTCTACGACCGCCTGCTGCATCGTCTCAGCATGTACGAGCCGGCGCGCGTGCTTGGGGCGTACGACGGGCCGACGCTTCTGCACCACGTGCGTCTCAAACCCGATCAAGTGCCGGTGGTCGTGAGCGGCGCGAGCCTCGCCGTCGACGAGGCCTCTGTGTACCTCTGGGGACCCAAGACGGGGCTCTACAAAGTGAGCACGAGTGCGCGGGACGCCGGGACTGTCCTTTGCCACGCAGAGGCGCGCGACATCCTCGAGCATTTCGTGTCGCCTCCGCACATTGTCAAGGCGATCGCAGGAACCTTTCGCGTCGTGACGGACCTCTTGCACGCACCGTCGCCGTCGACCGTCGGCGCAGTCGTCGGCGCCGACGACGACGGACGCCTTCTCTTGTTCTACACGGAAGGCGACACGCTCGTCGAGCAGGAGCTCGGTGTCGACGACGATTTATGGCTTCCGCCCGCAGGGTCGCTCCTCCGTGCGATCTTTGGTACCTTTGACGACGTGACAGAGACGCTTTCAGACGCGGCGACGGCGACAGACGCCTTTGTCTTGACGCAAGCCGACCATTTGCTCCTGTTTTCCGTCGCGATGCCGCTGCAAGACCAGTTGCGGAGCCATCTCTTTACGCGCGGTGACATGGTGCTGCCCGCGTCATCGAAAGCGCCGACGCTCAGCCTGGCGTGCCTCGAGCAGCACGTGGTCGTTGCCGGGTCCCTCACGAGCATGGATCTGCTGCTCCTGTCTCGGGCCGATTTGCGCGTCCAGCAGACCGTCGTCTTGCCGAATGCCCGGGCGCACGGCGACCAGCGACTGCAGATCACGACGGAAGGCGACTACCTCTACGATGTGATTCTCCGTGGCGCCCAAGGGCTTCGCGTCATCACGTACGACCTGCGCGGCGGCCCCGTGCACCGGTGCCACGTCGATCTTCGCCTCGATATGCTACCAAACGGCACGCATCCGATGCCGTGGACCCCGGGGTCCGCGACGGTGTACACGAACGGGCGGCAGCTGTGCCTCGTGCACATGACCGACGGCATATTGTCGTACGCCTTCTTCTCGTTGCGGGACGGTCGCCTTGAGTCGGTGCAGACGAGCGCCGCCAAGACGGGGTTCGTGCCCCGGGTCGCCTTGGATGCCACGGCGAACGCGCTGTGGGGCTACCACCCACTGCGCCACTGCATCGAGGCGCTTCCGAACGCTGGGCCGTGCGTTCCATTGCGGGCGACGACGGCACCATCGCCCCGGGATCTCTTGGTGGCAGAGTCGCTGCCGCCGGCGATGACGTGGGCGCTGCACATCCTTGGCACGCTCGAGGCCACGGCGTGGCCGCTCTTACATGCCGACGCCGTCGTCGACAAGTCGGTGGCCGTCGTCCCGTTCGCGGTCGACGTGCGTCTCGACACGATGCAGGCGCTCATTAGGCTCATTGACCGCTACGGGCGCCGGTTCTGCGCGAGTGACGACCTCGCACCGTGGGAAAAATGCGTGCTGCGGGCGTCCATGACCGTCTTGACGGCCAACGTCGCGCACTTGCGACCGTTTGACGACGCCAGTATCGTGGCGTGGGTCAAATCGAGTCCCCTCGCGTCGCTCCTCGCCGTCCTCACGCGGTTCCCGGACAGCGACGACGCGATTGTGCAAGCGGCGCTTAAGCTCTACATGGCGTCGCTCGACATCTTTTACGTCCGTCCCACGGACCAGCTCGAAATGGCGCTGCAGTTTCTGGCGCGTGCGACCAAGGGATCGTTGCATGCGTCCGAGCGCCCGATTCTAGCGCTTCTATTGCAGCGCCTCGCCGCCCTCGACAAGGTCAAGGACATTGCCGAGCAAAGCGGCGTGGTCGCGCACTTGACGTCGCTGCTCGCGTCGGCGCACATGTTGTTTGTAGCGCCATCCATCGACGCGCTCTCGACCGACCTCGTCGCCCTCATTTACGCCTTGACGCAGGCGCTGCTGTATGCTGCAAACGCCGCCCGCGTCGCGTGGTCGACGGCGTCGGCCGCGATGTTGGCAATCCTCGAGAGCTGTGTGGCGACGACGGCATGCGCGGATGCATATCGGCACCGGCTCGAAGCCAGTATCGTCGGCGTCGTGCTGCCGCTGCTCAGCACGGCCATGCATCACTTCTTGACGTCGCTTGAGCACGACTCGAGCGTCTACACGTCGCTCGCGACGCCGTTGCATGTGCTCTTTGCCAACGTGGGGGGCCTGGCGACGGCGATGGCGGCGACGGAAAGCTCCACCGTGTCGCAAACAACCACGGCCAAGGTCACCAAGACCATCGAGTCACCGCACGACTATCAGAACAACATGCACACGCTCACCGACGTCCGCGTGCCGGGCGCCACCAAGCTCACGATTACGTTCGACCCGGCGTGTCGCACGGAGCCCGGTTACGACTATGTGACGTTTTACACGGACGAGACGCAGACGACGTACTATGGCCTGGAAAAGTACTCGGGCCGTGGCGACGAGATGAACTGGCCCGGCGTCAACGGCCGCCCGCCGCTCGTCATTGACGCAAGCGCATGCGTGGTGCTCTTCCACACGGACGGCTCGGGCGTCGACTGGGGCTTCAAGTGCACGATCGTCGCCGACGTGCAGTCGCCGACGACGTGTCTCTCGCTGCACTGGTTACGGCACATTGAAGAAAGCATTGCGTCTGTCCTTGCCCACATCGCGTCAGCGCTGATTCGGACGACGCTGTTTGCGCCGCTCTCGTCGACCGAGGTGACGCACATGCCGCTATTGAGTTCGCACCTCTGGCAAGGCGGACGCCACGTGTCGAGCGCCGACGCGCCGGTCGTGGCCTTTCTGCACGCGCTCATCGACCCTGAGACGAGTTCAGTCGCCGATGCCGCCACAACAGCGCTAAAGACCCATACCCGCGAAGACCAAGGGGCAATTGCGCACATCAACCGCGCCGTTCGCGCGGTCGCGGCGGCCCTTCTCCACCACAACCTCTACGGCATGGAACTCTACCAGTGGGCGACGACGGCACTATCGAGTTCGCCGTCGCCGCACGTGTTGAAAATCTGGAAGACGGCGCAGAAGATGCGGCAATGGTTTGACCTGGGTGACGCGGCCGAGTCGAGCATCCACGCGCCCTTGCGCCCGAACGCGGGGCTTCCGGGCTTGAAGCGCCAGCCATCGGCGTTCAAGGGCGCGTCCGAAGACGCGATCGTTGCGCTCTGTGCGGCCGTCGTCGACCGTGCGACGTTTCTACTGTCGTTGACGCCGGCGTCGTTTGCGTTTGTGCGCGCGGCCAAAGTGCGCTGGGGCCTCCTCGCAAAGTACACGACGGCGCTCTCGCGGCAGCACTCGTGGGGCCACCTCGTGCGCGAGGTCGAAGCCGCGACCGAGCTCAAGACGCTCCTCGAGTACCGCCGCAGCTCGTACGAGCGGTCGCAGCAGATGCAGCCCAAGTCCGTGACCGAGCTCGTGCTCGAATTCGTGCAAAGCGATGTCGTTGTGCACGACATGTCGACCATCCTGAGTGTTCGGAAGGACCGTGCCCACTTGCGCGACCTCGGTGTGCACATGGTCGGGTCGGCGCTCGCGGCAACGACGAGCGCGCGCAGCCAACTGCTCTTCCTGCACGCGTTGGCGTCGAGCTTGCGCGCGATGGGCCACGAAGACCCGTGTGCGACGCACGTGCACTTTTTCAACAGTCTCAACGGCTGCGACGAGAGCCAGCGCGAGGGCTTGAGCCAGAGCATGCTCACGTGCTTGAAAGCGTGTGCGCGGATCCTCGAGAGCACGCTGCAGCAGCCCTTTCTCTCGTCGATCGACGCGGCCTTGCTGACGACGCTACTGAAGGCGATCGCGCTCGACTACGACGCGCGCGACGCGTACTTGCTCTACGAGAGCAAAGTGCTGCCGCACATTCTGCGCCTCTTGCCGTCCGAGCACGTGAACCTGCGGCGCGCGGCGCAGTCGATGCTGCGTGTGCTCCTCTCGCACTTTGTCGCGGTCGACGACGTGCCCGAGACGCCGCGCGACGACGTGTCGCAGTTCCAGAAGCAGCTCCTCGCCGCCGTGCGTCTCCAGCTCGAGGGCGTCGCCAGCGCGGTCATGACGGCGTCTCGGTCGTCGATGACGGCCCTCGGACGGCATCTCGCAGGCGCCACGGCGCCGCACGTGCCGCTGCTTCGCAACCACTCGCTGGCGTTTTGGATCTATGTGCCGTCGCCCAACGTCCAATATGCGCTCAAGGTCGGCGACGAAGTGCGCCGAGGACCGCAGTGGGACAGCACGGACGACGAAGACGGCGGTGACACGGGCACGGGCTCCGTTGTCGGGATTCCTGGACCGGCCATGGTGCAGGTACCGAACCTATCTATCTATCCGTATATGGTTAGGATGCTGCATCGTCCGCGTAGGTGAGTTGGCACGCGACCAAAAAAATGGGCATGTACGTCTGGGACCCGGTGACGCCGTCGTGTCAAGTGCAGCTGCTGGACGAAGGCATTGGCGGCATGGTGTTTCTGCACGGCAATCGCAACCTCGTCGCTGACACGGACGACATGGTGCCGTGGAGCCACCACGGACTCTTCCTCACGGACGACGCGCAGCTCAAGTACGTTCTCTCGTCGGGCACGGACAAGGACGTTCTCGTCGAAAGCAATGACGCCCTCCACAAAGACGCGTGGAACCACGTGTGCATCGTCCAAGAGAACGCCTTCTTGAAACTCTTCCTCAACGGCGTCCTGGATACGCACCATACGCTCGACAAGGAGCTCATCTTGCCGTTCAACGAAGCGCCGACCATCCTCGAGACGTCGCACCCGTGCGTCGGGAGCCCGGACGCGCCGACGACCACGTGGCCCGTCGTGTACCCTGGCGCGACGTCGCTTGTGGTTTCGTTTGACCCGCTCTCGCAGCTCGATCGCGCCAACGGAGATGCCCTCGCCGTGACCAGAGGCAGTGCCGTCGTGGCGACCTACAATGCCGGGTTTCCCGGAGCGTACGGTCAACCGTACGTTGTCTCGTTCGATCTCGAGTGGAGTGACATGATTTCTGTAGGCCCTTGGTCGTCGACGGCGACAGCGTCGTCCTCGGCCTGCACTCGACCAGCTCGAGTGCGAAATGGGTACAGCGTCGATGGCACTCAAATGCTGTGAAAGCTCATGCAGAAGGTAGGGGTTCCGTGCAGTGGTCGTGCCGCTGTATGGCGACGCCCGGGATGCGTCTGGCCACGTGAACGGCCACCCGTTCTACTTTGGCGAGCCGCCGCCGCGGGTCTTGGATGCCCCGTCAAGCCAGTGCTGGCTGGCGGCGTTCGATGTGATCAATGTGCCGCTACACGACCACGAAGTCCAGCTGCTCATGCGGTTGAACCCGCAAGAGGCGCCACCCAGCGTGTTTCCGATGGACCGCGCGCTGCACACGCTCGGCTTGGTCAAGACGTGTGCGCAAACGAGCTTTGGGCGGTCGTTTGTCACGAAACCAGAGCTTGTGCGGCACTTGCTCGAGGTCATTCTATTGGGCCCGACCGAAACGCGCTGTGCTGCCCTCCACGTGCTCACGGACCTCACGCCGACATTGCACCCGGCCGTCGTCGACGAGCAGTTCACCGCTGCGTTTCCAGAGCACCCGTCGTTTTTGCTCGCGCTGCTCGAGACGATCGGTGCGATTCTGGCCGTGTGGCAGGCGCCGCCGCCGCTCGTGCAGTGTGCGCAAACGCTCTCTCTGCGCATGTCGGCGCAGTGCGCCATGGGGCTCGTCGACGCGCACATCCAGTTTCTGCGCGCCCTTGGTGCGAGCCGCGCATGGAGTTCGGCGCTCTTTGGTCATCTGGAAGCGAGTTTTGCATGGCTCGGGTCCAAGGCGATGACGGCCGACGACACGATTGCGTTCCAGCGGGCGCTCGCGGCCGTGGCGGTACTCGGTGGCAGCTACGACGGCGTCGTGCTCGGAAGTCGTGTCCGGTGTTGCGTCAACATTGACGGCAAAGAGTCGGTCGAAGCCGGCTCGATCGTGCAATTCCATCTTCGCGGCGAGTCGCGCATGGCGTCGGTGCTGTTCGACTGCGACAATAGCCGTCCCGTCGACGTCCCCATCGGCGACATTGCGTGCGACGACGGCAACGACGAGAGCGACCTCTTTCAGTTTGCGAGTGCGTCGGTGCCGGTCGTCGTCGAGGGCCTCCGTCGCTTCTTGGCACAACCCGTGTCGCCGTCGCACCTGCCGACGACGTACTTGCCGCGCCGCACGCGCGTCGAGAAGACCGACGTCATCGAGTCCGAGCACCCGTACCCACACAGTACCGACCAGACGTACGCCGTCGACTTTGCCACCGCAACGGCCGTCACGATTGTGTTTGACGCCAAGTCGCGCACCGAGATGGACTGCGACTATGTCCAGTTTCGCGCCCGAGACGGGTCCCGCGTGTATGGCGACGACAAGTACAGTGGGACGCACTTCCCCGGCGTCGGTGCACTGCCGCCGCTCGTGATTCCCGCGTCGTCCTTTGATGTCCTCTTCCATTCAGACAGCAACAACAACGACTGGGGCTTCCGCTTCACGGCCACAGCCATGATCGAGCGCGACGAGCTGCCGCCCGAGGTGCCGCCAACACCCGCGTTTGGGGCGTGGTGCGACCTCCGCGCCCGGTGCCTCAAGGTGCTGCAGCAGTACACGCCGTCGTTCTTGTCGTCGTTGCCACCGCAACTGCTCGCCGAAGTGGCCACGATTGCCATCTCGCCCTTTGATGGACGCCCGATGATAGCCATGCCCAAGTCGCAAGTGTTCGAGTCCAAGCACCCGTACGCCAACTCGATCTCCGAGTACATGGCCGTGACGTTCAAGGGCGCGAGTGAGCTCACAATTACATTTGACGGGCAGTCGCGCACCGAAGATGGCTGCGATTACGTCGTCTTCTTCAAAGACAAGACGCTCACGGAGCGTTGGGGGTGCTACCAGTACACGGGTCGGGCCGGTACGGAGAATTGGCCCGGCTGTGGCGGCCGTCCGTCGCTCGTGATTCCGGCCGAGGGCTTTACGCTGCTGTGGTGTACCGACTCGAGCAACGTCGATTGGGGCTGGAAGTTTGTCGTGAAAGCCACCTTCCCGAGCGTGACACCATTGGCCCTGACGCCGGACGCGCTTAACCAGCGGTCGTACCACGTGACCGAGATGCTCTACGAGCGCATGCGACCGACGCCGGTGCCGGTGGCCAGTGCGTTTGACGGATTTGCACGCGCGACGGCTCCACTGCCGTCGCTGCAACGGTATCTGAGCTACATACCACCGACGGCTCCGTTGTCGACGCCAACACCAACGCCCGACGCACGCTACCGCGTCCAGCCGTTTGAAAACGTAGCCATCCACACCGATTGCAACGACGAATCCGACATCGTCGACGTCGTAACGCCGATGACGACGGTGCACGTTGCGGACGCGCGTGGCGACTGGTGCCTCGTCGAGACACCGTCGGGCGACCGGGGGTGGTGCCAATGGCGTCGTGGGACCGGTGGATGCTACGTCCGCTGGCGCGTCCGTGGACGCACATTGATGAAGACACGGTCGTCGTCGGCGTCGACGACAAGGCAGTGATGGCATCCGATGTCGACGAGTCGAACGACGAGCAAGACGAGCTCGCCAACTTCACATCGCATTTTACCATCGAAGAGATCAAGGGCCAAAGCCACCGATTGCATTTGCTCGCGATCGAGACGGCCAACGCCCAAGCCATCCAGGTCGCCCGAGCGACATTACTCTCGCTTTTCCAGCGGCCCGATTTCGACCTCGCGACCTTGGGGGCATCCAGTGGTACCTTCTTAGAGCTTCTCGTTGTCTTATTGAACGAGCCGACCACGTCGCTGGACGCCAAAGCCGCCTTGCGACAGCGCCTTGCCGAGTTTCTCGCGCTGCCGACGGCGGGCCTCGCATTCCTGACCAAGGTCGTCGACTTGTATGTGCACACGCAGAACCAAATGCGAGAGGCGCTGCCGAGGGGCCGAGCGATCGTGCGCACGCTCGAGAGCTCGCATCCGTATCTGGACAACACGGACGCGTACTGGAAGGTCGAGATTCCCGGCGCGACCCAGATCCAGATTGTGTTTGACGCGCGCAGCAAGACGGAAGCGGGTTGTGACTACGTCTGTTTTTACAATGCGTCGGATCGAAGCATAGTCTACGGCGACACCCAGTACTCGGGTCGGTCGGGGACCGAGAATTGGCCTGGCGTCGGCAATCGGCCGCCGCTTCTTATCGACGCCGACCGCTTCGAGGTGTACTTTCATTCGGACGCGAGTGGGAACGACTGGGGCTTTGCCTTTACGGCCTACGGTCTCTTGGGGCCCGAGATGCCACCAACACCAGCATGCGCACCGCGCTCGGACGTCGCGCTCTGGCTCCTCGAGGCGCTCTGTGCCGTGCCGCAAAAGCCGACGCCGGTGCTCGAAGCCCTATACGCACCGTCCGTCCTCGACGCGTGGTCGACGTCGCTCACGTCCATGCCCCAGTCGGCCAAAGTGTCGACGCTTCGTATGCTGTCGGCCGTGGCGTTGGACGCCGCGTCCTGGCGACATGTCGCCACGCAACGCACTGCGCTCTTGAAGCTCTTGGACCTCGTCAAGAAGCGCATGCTCGCGCAGCATCGGGCTGAAGAACGCTCGGATGTCAAGTCGGTGTACCTGCAGAGCTTGGTGCAAACGGCGCTCGCACTCGATCATGCGATCGAGACCCGTGGGTTCCCGACACCCGCGTCCGTCTTGCCGGCGCCCGTCGAGCTTGTGTGTACGAACGTTGACACGCTCGTCGAGGTGGCTCCCGACCTGGTCTGGGCCCGCGGCAGGACCCATCACATCACGGTGCTCCTGCGGCTGTGCACCGCGGGCATGACCATCGGTGTCAAAAGCACCACCCGCGAGCCGCCATGGAGCTTTGTGTGGTCCTCGTCCAAGACGGTAAACGCTCAAGCCCTCGGTGTGCTGCTGCAAGACGGCGATACACTGACACTCGAAGCCGACTTAAGCCGAGGCGAACTGTCTTTGCGCAAAAACCGAGCACTCGTCGGCTCCGCACCAGTGCCGCCGGACGTCGGCGACCTCGTACCCGTCGTCGCGTTCGGTTCCATCAACGACGCCGTCGTCGTGTCGTCCGAGTGGACGCCGCCGATGCGCCACGACCCGACGTGGTACACCAAGCTCATGGAGAGCAAGGCGATGCTGCTGGCCGAGACGAGCCAACGTCCAACGGCGGTGACGCTGGAGAGCATGCACCCGCTGCCCGACGATGTGGCAACCAAGACAGTGCATCTACCCGGCGCGACGAAACTAGAAGTGCGCTTTGACCGACACACGCAAATGGGCTCCCAGGATACACTTACGCTCACCACACGGTCGCAAACGGTCGTGCTCACAGGTCTCGACGGACAGCTCGACCCGGACGCATCTGCGTTTGGCCCAATGCCAATGACACCGCAACTCGCCTTGTCGCCGGGCGACGTCGTCGTGCGCGGTGACGATTGGATCTACGGCCAAGAAGATGGCGGGGCGGGGGCCACGGGCGACGTTGTCGAGCTCTGCAGCTGGAAGCAGCGCGCAGGCACTGGCGTCAAGGTCCGCTGGCGCTCCACCAACACCGTCGCGCTCTATCGGTACGGCTACAACGGCCATTACGACGTGTACCTCGTGACGGCGCGTCAGTCATCGGTGCTGTGGCTCGACGGCGACAACGTCACACTCACCGCGACGCCGTACCAGGCGTCCGTGCAAAAGGATCACGAGTTCAAGGGGAGCTTGGACTTTGGCCAATCGACGGTCGTGTCCTTGCCGGTGACGCCCACGTTGCGCTTGCGCGACGACTTTAGTCTGCAGTTTTGGCTCCGCTTGAGCGGCGATCTCTCGACCAAAGAGAGCAAGCGGCCGCCGCAGACGATTTTGGTTGCCGGTGGCATCGACGACGACGACAATGCATGCTTCCACATGAGCGCGACATCGGACTTAAAGATTCGACTTCTCTTCAAGAGCGGCGGCTTCCTCGACAGCATGCTCTCCGAGGCTCTTTCGCCCAATGCGTGGGTGCTGCTATCTATCGTCGGCAGTGGCTCCGACGTCTCGCTCTACAAGAACGGCGAAAAGTGGACGTCCCATACCTTCTACGGGCGCACGGCGTACGCAACGCCCTTTCATACGGTCTTCTTGGGCTCGTCGTTGGCTGCGACCCGCCCCGGTTTTAAGCAGTACAATGGACTCCACGGCCAGCTCCACGATGTCAAGATGTGGGACGCACCGTTGACGCCCAGCGACGTCCGGCGCGAGTTTTTGGACAAATGCGCGGTCTTGCCGAGTGGGTTGCCCCCGGCGCCGCCCCTGTGCCACTGGACCACCATCAACAAAACAGGTCGCGACCTCTGTACGCTCAAAGCGTCTATCGCGATTCAGCGAGGCAAGGTCTATTACGAGGTCGCACTGCTCTCGGGCGGCTCGGTGCTCGTGGGATGGGCCTCACCGCAGTGCACGCCCCGACACAAGAGCTCGGTTCTCGGCGACACTGGCGATGCATATGCGATCGACCTCCACAAGCAGTACATGTGGCACGACGGCCCGTTACCGTTCAACGCGCCGCTCGAGACGTCGGTCAAAGCGGGGGACGTCGTCGGCTGTCTTCTCGACTGCGACGCGGGCACGATGGCGTTTACACTCAACGGCCATCGCGTCGGCGACACGTTTGGCGCGCCGACAGCGCTGCCACAGGCGGCCAACAAACGCGTGGCGGCGCTCCGGGTCGCACCAATCTTGCGCGACCCGAGCACCCCGCGGAGCATGAGCGCGCGCGAGGCCAGAATCGCAGAGCTGCTCGCCATGGGCTGCTCGCGCCACAAGGCCATTGAGGCGCTGCAGCGCAACGACCAAGACGTGGCATCGGCGCTCGAGTGGCTGTTGCACAACCCCGATATGGTTGTGCCGTTGGGCCCGCACGTTCGCCTCGTCGAAGAAGCGGTCCCGAGCGCCAACCGATGGCAAGACCAAGGCGGCTTGAGCCCTGCCGTGGCCTTGAGCCCACTCGGTGCGCAAGGGGTCGCGTGGAACCTCGGGCAACGGCCGTTCCAGTACCTCCCCGACGGCTACGTCGGTGTTGTCACGGGAGCAACCGACAACGCGGCGCCAACAGCACCTCTTGTCGTCTACGACTGGGCGGAAGACGGGTGGGAGCCGATTCAGGTTCGGCACAAGCTGCTCGACCTATCGCCTCGGCTGTTGCACCGGTGGCGACTGGACGAAGGCCACGGCACGGAGCTTCGCGATGCGATGACGTCGACGACCGGAGTCTTGGTGTCGACGGCGTCGTTGCGGCCCTGGAAACCGTGGCTCTTCTCGCCCTTGTACCAGCAAACACTTGGCGCGTGGGGGTATAAAGTGACCATCTATGGGCACTACTACGCCGAGAGCGCGCCCACGACGCGATTTGTGTGTCCGAGCTCCCTCGAGTACCCGCGCTTCCACAAGCACAACGTGCAGCTGGTCGAGTTTGCCAACGCCAAGTTTCTGCAACGGCAGCTCGACGTGGCCCACGGCCTCCGCGTGCCGTGGTCGGAGATTGCGCCGCACGACGAAGAGCTGGTGCGCTGGCCGCTCTTGTGCGAAGTCGCGTACGGTCGATTGGCGGCACCGGGCGCAAGCGACGACAATGCGCTGTGTGCCAACCACGACCGCCTCGCGGCACGCTTCAGCTACCTCCAGCAGTTCAACATTGCGATGCACCGCCTCTTGCCGTGGGTTACGCTCGAGGCCGACGCACCCGTGGGTAGTCTGACCGACATGCTCGGGCGCTGCCGAGGGCTCCTCTTCCATAAGCTCAAAAAGACAATGTGGGAGGCCGCGCTCCTGCGCACGCTGCGTCCGGGTGCGGCCGTCGACTTGACGCTCAACCGACCGAAGGCCATGCGGCAACGGGCGACGGGCGTGCCCGACGAGGATGCTCGGTCCGCGCTCTTCGCGCAAGCCTTTCGCCAGCTCAACGCGACTGACAACTACCATTTTCGGCGCCACAGCAACGTCTACTACGTGAAATTTCTCGGAGAAAACGCCGAGGACGCTGGCGGGCCGTATCGTGAGACGTTTTGCCAGTATGGCGCCGAGCTCCAGAGCGCGCAGCTCCCGCTGCTGCTGCGGACGCCGAACGCAGCCCACAACGTGGGCACGGGGCGTGAAAAATGGGTGCTCAACCCGACGGCGTTCGGGCGCCAGCACCGGTTGCGACGGCGCCTCCTCGAGTTTCTCGGCAAGCTCCTCGGCGCGTCGGTCCGGTCGCGCGATTACTTTGCCCTCGACTTGGCGCCGCTCGTGTGGAAGTACCTCGTGCACGAGCCCGTCGGCGTCGACGACCTCGAAGCCATCGACCGCATGCTCGTCCAGTCGCTCGCCAAGATCCGCACCATCGACGAGCTCGGCGTCACTGCCGAAATGTTTGAAGACATTGTGCTCGAGACGTTTACGACGCTCTCGATCGACAACCGCGTCGTTGAGATCACGCCCAACGGACGCCAAGTGGCCGTCACCTTTGAGAACCGGTGTCGCTTTGCCGACCTCGTCGAAGCCTATCGGCTGCACGAGTTTGATGCGGCGCTCTCGCAGCTCGAGAGTGGCCTCGGGAAGGTGCTGCCGCTGCGGTACCTCCGACTCTTTACGGCCCGCGAACTCGAGAGCATGGTGGTCGGGTCACCGGACGTCGACGTCGACTTGCTCCAGCAGTGCACCGAGTACAGCTCGTGCAGTGCGTCGGACCAGCACATTGTGTGGTTCTGGGCCGTCCTCCGCCGCTTCTCACACGACGAGCGCAGCGCGTTCTTGCGCTTTGTGTGGGGTCGGTCGCGGCTCCCGGCCGCCGCGACCGAGTTTCCGCAGTGGTTCAAACTCCAGTCGTTCACGAAAACGCCCGCCGACAACTACCTGCCCGTCGCCCACACGTGCTTTTTGCGCTCGAATTGCCGCCGTACTCGAGCGAGGAGCTCCTCGCCAAGAAGCTGCTCTACGCCATTTACAACTGCCAAGAGATTGACGCCGACGGCGACAGCGTTGCAGCCAACCAGCTCGGCTGGGACGAGTGATAGCGTCGTGTCCGAATAATACACTTGCAGGTGCGAATCAACAAACGACTAGTTGTTGAGGATCGAGAGTCAATCGCCCATGCCCACACACACTCAAGGACCATAGACGGTCGAGTGCGATTACTTGGCCTCGGACAAGAGCGAGAGCACGCTGTGCGAGAGCTGCCAGCTCGAGACGCGCGCTTCGTTCGCGGCAAAGAGGTCGCTGCGCGTGCACGGCACGTCGACGGCCGACGTCTGCGCACTCCAGCGCAGAAAGACGTGTTCCCACACCTACGAGACTTTTTCAGCCATAGAACACCGAGAGCAATTGCTGCGTACGCGGACCGACCGAAGCAGCGTCGAGAGAATCGGACGCAAGACGCCGTGGGGCATGTACGTCTCTGTGTTGGTGAGCTCGGCCCGGAAGCCGTCGAGCCACGCCCAGAGCGACGCGGTGCGCTGGGAAAGCTCCATCTTGTCGCGAGCTTGCACGTTGTTGAGGAGAAAGGTGCCGAAGCGGCACGAGTAGATCGAGTCGGCGAGGAGGCAGAGGTACCCTTCGTTGAACTCAAAGTACGCGGGATAGAGCTGCTGGAGCTGCCACACGCAGTCGAGAAACTGCATTGAGGACGAATATCAAACGTACGAATGCGACGCCAGTAGGTGTACCTGGAGAAAGATGGGTGACTCTTCGCTCGACGCTTTCTCGCCATGCGCAAGCCGCATCTGGAACGGATGCCCAAACGCCAAAAAGTCCTTCTCGATGAGCACCTGGAAGCCGTGGATCGTACGGTAATATGGGTCCAAGCACAGCTGCGCGAGCGCCGAGAGCTGCGACGTGCGGTCCCAGCCGTGACTGCAGTGCACGAGGACCGACGTTTGCTGCGTGTGCAGCAAATCCACGATGCGCAGCGTCGCCTGCAGGCACACGCGAACGTAGTGGAGCCATTTGGTGTCTTCAATGTCGCCAAACCAGCTCAAGTTGTCACACGTGAGCGAGAGCGAGAGCTGCCGCAGCTTCTTCATGCTACCCGCATGTCTTCATACAGAGCAGCCACGTTCACGACAGGAGTACCTTTCGCGCATCGTGTGGATGTTGGGGATGTTCATAAACTCGACAACGGCGTTCTTGTAGCGCAACGGCGTCTCGACGCCGTACCCTTTGGCACGGTTGGCCTACGCCCGGCGAGTAGCAATGTATCAACTTGAAACACAGGGTCGCGTACAACTGCACTCGACATGGGCCGGCAGTCGATGATGTGCACGGTCTGACGCATCGGGTTGGCGTCGCCGATCGCGGCCACGAGGTCTTCGTCGACAAGCGAGAACGCGTTGCTCATGCCCACCTACCGACTGTCCGCCTCATATGTGAAGACTCGAGGCGCACCTTGGGCTGGCTCGACCGGGTGAGCGACGCGCCAGTCTCGGGGTGGAGCCACGTCAAGGCCGGGATGCGGCCGATGGACCGAAACTGCGCGGCCTCGAGCAGCATCTATAAAAGAGGGTCACATGCCACAAGGCAAGAAGAGGAGGTACGTCGTCCGAGATGGCGGCAGGCACAATGAGTGTTTGTGGGTACGACTCGATTGTAGCGTAGCCGGCGTTGATGGTGGTGCGGCGCCAGAGGGCGGCCTTGTCGACACCGAGCCGGGCCCACTCGGCGTCGGCGTCGTAGACGTCCCAGCCGTTCGGAAGCGGGAGGCAGTCGTCGAGCGTGCGCTCGTCGAGGGACGTGCCATCGTCGATTTTGCGCGCGGAAGGCGGTGGGCAAACGCAAAGAGGTACGAGACGTCGTCGGGGAAAGCGTACATGAGGAGGATCTCATGAACCTTCTGGAGCACCGCGGCTTTCTCCGGGAACGTCAAGTGGAAGCGGCGGTGGTCCTTGGTCGTGATCTTGATCATGCTCGCCTTGTCGACCTTCTCGACGCGCGTGATGGCGCCGAGCGGGATCGTGCAGTACTCGTGCACGCGCCGGAGGCTGCGGAAGCGCCGCAAGATGCTTTGGAACGCGGTGGCATCTTCGTCGCCGCTGGACATGGACGGGTGGTAGTAAAACTGGAGGCGGTACGTCGTCATCATGAGGCGACCGGGCAGCGAGTACTCGGTCTGGTCGCGCGGCTGGTCGTCGTCGACGACGGGCGACGTGGTCGTCGCGTCCGGCTCGGCCATGGTGCGCGCAACGACTTGGTCCTTGAGCAGGTTGAACGCGGTGTTGAAGCGCGACTTCTTCTCGGCCGTGAGCACCGCGGCCTTGGCAGGCGGCTTGGCCGGCGGCTTGCTCGTCGAAGCGCCCGCGAACGCGAACGCAAAGTCGCAGCGGATCTCGGCCATGACCTCGCGCTCGCCAAAGAGCTTGGCCATTGGCAGCGCCGCCATGTCTACGACGCTCGACCGCTGCTGCAGCACCGGGCTTGACCGGCTGCTCATGCTCCGTCGAAAAAGAATCCCAAGATCTGATTTTTTAGACAGATTTAAAACAATCTTGCATATCGTATGCAAAACGAAATATTTTAATCCTCGTCGTCCATATGGCCTCTCGTCGATGCGATCCAGCCGCCCGAGGTCGACACCGTCGCGGGCGCCGACAACGACGGCCATGGGACTGCGCAGACCATGGCGATCAGCGCGCAGCTCATGCAGCTGCCATGGGCATAGGTGCGCGGCTCGCCAACGACCATATTAACAGCGACCATGGCCGGCCATATCGCGCTGTTGGTCCTCGGCCCTCCGTCGTCGCCGCTGAGCGGGCGCGATCGACGCACTGGTTCCCACTTCCCACCGCTGTACTGCAGGAAGCGCTCGCAGGAAGCACGTCAATGGTGTGCGTGGCCATTGGCGACGACGCTATAATACATGCAGCACGACTCGAGCCACGACGTCGTTGGTAGACATCGATGCAAACGCGATGCCACATACGGTCCCCGGTCGTCCATGATGATTCTGTCAGCGAGTAATGAACGCATCGAGTCCATGGCAGCGAAATCAAATCACTCGTTGAACGAACGTTCTCAGACGTCGTCGACCTGAGCAGTCGTCCCTGGGGATCAGCAAGGACAAGCGGGATGGGTCCGTCGTCTCGGATTCTCGGATCGTCATTACCGATTTCGCCACGCACTTGAAACATGTTCAAAGCAGCTCTGATCGCCTTGATTCTCGGCGCCGTCGTGGCGGTGCCGGCGCCCTTTGGCACGCTCCTCGGCGTCACGCACGGCAACACGAGCGTCTACTCGTGCAACCACCCGACCGAAGACAAGTCCAACTACTACCCGCCAGGCACGGACGAGACCAACGGCACGTACACGGGCCTCCGCTGGCAGTGCGTCGAGCTCGCGCGCCGGTACCTCTTCCTCAACCACCAGCTCCTTTTCGCGTCGGTCGACGGCGCGGTCGACATTTTCAACCTCTCGACCATCACGGACGTCGGGCGCAACGTCTCGGTGCCGTTCACCGCGCACGCCCAGGGATCGGCGACGCCGCCCGTGCGCGGGTCCCTCCTCATCTACAAGAACGTGGGCTACTACGCACCGTGGGGCCACGTCGCCGTCGTCGTCGACGTGCACACGAGTCATATTGACATTGCCGAGCAAAACGTGGACGACAGCGTGTGGCCGCCGGGCCAAGCGTACTCGCGTCGGCTCAACGTGACGCGGTCGAGCGCGTCGTTTACCGTCGACAAGCTCTACGACGACGAGGTCGTGCTGGGGTGGATGACGACCCCGTTGCACCCGGCGTGCTAATTGCAACAAAACGACACTCATGGTCGCTGCACGTACGTGGGAGGTAGGTTGAAACATTATATTGCAATAATGGAACGACGTACTATGCCATGCGCGTGTTGGAGTAGACCACGGAGACCACGTACGCAACGCATTTTTGTACTTGATTTTTGTATGGCCATCCCGTCAACCCCCTCTTGATTAACATGTAAAGAATTGATAAAAGTGAATCAAAGAACGAAGCAGGGTCCGCAGTGTTGTACTTTGAGGCCCGTAAGTGCTACATAACGTTAACTTCACTCACTGTCAATCCAGGTCGAGGTGGCAGATGAAATCTGAACGATCCCAATGTGCTGACAACTTTGTGGCTTATATCATTTCGTGTCGTACCCAATCATGTTAAAGTGTAAATGATAGATGATTTCAATTACCAAGAGCGCATAGTACCACGGAATTGGCCGCGCCATCCCTACCGGTATTAGGTCGGTCGTTCTATTGAGCCAAGCGGCGTGTTGAACCAGCACGTGGAAAATGGCGCCAAAAAATGGCGCACCAGCAGCCGCCTACCTTGCAGTTCGGCGCATCCGGATGCGACGGCCGGATTCTCGATTCTGGTTCACCAATCCGCGGCCTGAACGAGTGAAAGCGCTTGTCGCGTTTCTTACCCGCATGTCGCTTCTTCGTGTCATCCAATCACGTGTCGCGATGCTCACGTTGGCGTCGTGGATTGGCTACAAGGTGCGGATTCTTGCCCAATGGTGGAGAATGTCGGTGCGTTCGGAGCGTGTTTTGGCCAATCGCTGGCACCCGTGTCCTCTCGTCAAGCCTCACTTTGCAATTTGCTCCCAAGAGCTCCAGTAGGCCGTGTACAACGCTTAACCTAACTTTAAAGATGGTCCCATTACCCCATGCCATTACCCGATGATGTGCCCGCGCAACGGCAAGCAACTTCAGCATCGACAACATCGGTGAAAGCGACCGTCGGGTTGGCCACCAAACACCAAGTAGACGGTCATTGTCCACGCCCATCGCCCGGGTGCGCGTGAGCTCGTTGTTTTCGCTCGAAAACCGCTTGCACGCCCACTCGGTCGCCCGGGGTGCTCTCGGCCGTCCGCTTTGTTCCCATGGCCCACGCGCTATCAACCAACTTGATGCCGGTGGCTCCCGCGCGTGTTGGCCGAGTGTCGTTCTCTAGTTGGCTGCAGGCGCCGTTTGCTGTCTCTCGCAGCGTCTCATTGTGTGTCGGCGGTCGGTGGTTGTGCCTTTTGTGCTTGTCGTCAACGCCTCGCGGCCGACTCGATGCTACGTCGTTGGTATCTCGGGCGGTGCCCAACAGCAGCCTCCAAAGCGGCTCTTCTTGAACGTCTTCATCGACGATACGATCGCGGCGTCTCGGCGAGACGGCAAGCGGTGCAGCTGACCGCAGTGCTGGCTTAGTTGTCACAGAGTCCAAGCACTTGTATCGTTTCCCGTTCTTCGCGTCTGTCTTCGCGTGGTGGTGACTCCGGTGTTCAAGGCTCGGTAGTCCAGGTGGCGGCGTTTTTGTGCTCAAGGCTCGGCAATCCAGGTGCTCCGGGCTCGGCGGTCAAGGTGCTCAAGACTCGGCTTTCAAGGTGCTCATGGCCCGGTTGTCCCAGTGTTCAACGCTCGAATCGAAGTTTCAGGCGGCGGCGGTCATGGTGTTCAAGGCGTGGTGTCCAAGACTCGGCGGTCCAGGCGGCGGCAGTCCAGGTGCTCAAGGATCGATTGTTCCAGTCGTCAAGGCTCGGTATGAAGGTTCAGGCGGCGGTGGTCAAGGCGTGGTGTCCAAGACTCGGCGGTCCAGGCGGCGGCAGTCCAGGTGCTCGAGGCTCGGCGGTATACATTTATGCGGCGGCGGTGTGATGGTGCTCAAGGCTCGGTTGTCCCGGTCGTCAAGGCTCGGTATGAAGGTTCAGGCGGCGGCGGTCAAGGTTCAGGTGGCGGCGGTCAAGTTGTCCAAGGTTCGGCGGTCCAAGGCTCGGCGCTCAAGGCTCAGTGGTCCTGGTATGCAAGGCAAGGTGGCGAAGGCTCTATTATTATTCAGATTCTCAGGCGGCGGCAGTGAAGGTGGCCATGGCTCCGTGGTCCAAGCTGTGCAGTCTCGGTGTCGAAGATTTGGCGTGTCGAAGTTGCACAGGCCCGGTCTGGGTGAGGTTTGCAGTCTGTGAACTCGTCAACGTGTGTGCTTACTCGGTTGTTTCTTGTCGTTGTATCTCGGTCGTCTGGCGGGTCGTCTTATGTCACGGTATCTCGGTCCTTCAAGATGTGGCCACTTGGTCGATGGCAGTCGGTCGAAGTCAAGTGTGCTCGCTAAATTGCAAGTCCGGTCAAGGTGTGGTGTGGCTTGGTGTCGTGGTATCTTGTCTGGTGTCGTCTATTATTTTGGTAGCTCATGGGTTGCGGTCGCTCAACGCGTGGTCTATGGTGTGATCTGGTGTCGTGGTATCTCGGTCGTCTGGTGTCGTGGTATCTCGGTCGTCTGGTGTCGTGGTTTCTAGATTGTTTGATGTCGTGGTTCGTGGTATCTCGGTCGTCTGATGCCGTGGTATTTCGGCCGTCTGGTGTCGTGGTGTCTCGGTCGTCTGGTGTTGCGGTGTCTCCGTCGTTGAGTGCCGTTGTCTGTGGTATCGTTTTAGTGTGTCAAATCTCGGTTGTTTATGGGTAGCAGTAGTTCGAAGCGTGGTCGATGGCGTCGCGGTGTTTTGGTCGCTGGTTGCCGGTGGGGTCGTCTGGTGTCGTGGCAGGGTGGTCGTGGTAACTCGGTCGAATTGTGGCGTCGCTGTGGTGTCGGTCGTTGCCGTGGTTTGGGCGGTCGGTCGAGATCAAGGTCTTGCCCATTAACGCAATGTGTCTATAATCGAGCGTTTGTTGTGTCGTGAACATTGAAATTGCGATCATTTACTAAGTAGACACATTGGTCGGTCTTTGCTAGCTACGTACGCGGGAGAAACAACTTGAATGGTGCCGCATAATTCTTGGCGTAATGCGCATGCGACTCCATCGATTAGGGGATTCGTTGTCTGTCCAGCGCACCGAAACATTGTACCGCGTCACGATTACCAGGCGACGTCGCACGTCAATCGCGTCGGCGCTGCGTTGCCGAAAGACGATGCCAGAAGCTATCTGTCATTTTGCAGCGCTGTCCATACCGGGCGCCAACGTCGCAACACAGCGCTGCTACCTCGAGTCGATGCGAACGCTGCCTGCTTTGCCTTTGTTTGAACGAGTGTTGTGTGATTTCCATCACTTTACATTTTCGCGGACGCATCTTTCCTTCGCAGTCACTATAAGCTGCGTGTTTTTTAGCGCCGGGCGACACGGAGTTCATGCTCCCGGACGGGCGTCGCGGCTTCGATGGCCAGCGAGCGACTCGGACGACGTGGGCCGAGCGACCCACGAAAAACCTGGTGTCGCAGGATCGGCCGTGATCTTGACCGAGCGTCTTCCAACCGCAAGCCTCACGGTCGACAGCTTGCGAGCTATACAATCTGGTACTGTATATTGCTCTAGGCGACCTACCCGACCACGAGGCGTCAGTCGTATGCGTCGTCCTCTGCCAGCGTGGCTCCACGTGCTGCCACGTACATTTTTCGTTTTTATATTATTATTGCTACACACATACAAATACGCCGTATATTTGAAATATCTGTATAGTAATACGAGTCGAATTGAATGCCCGCGGACGCGGTTTGATTGGCGGTACAGAGCCAATGGAACGCAGGACTGCCAAAGCACTGGCCGCCAACCCATAGCGCAATCTGCATCATCGCCATGTCATCGCCCGAGACGACCTCGAAGCGCACGCGCTCGGACGAGCCCGAGTCGACGGCGAAGAAGACCAAGATCTCGCGCACATATGAGGACCTCGTGGCCCTCAGCAAGGCCGACCCGCGCTTCGCCGAGCGCTTTGAGGGCCGGCCGAAGAGCTGGGTCTCGACCGCGACCATGAAGAAGAGCTCCAAGGCGCAGTACAAGCGCGTCGTCGCGCTCGATTGCGAAATGTGCGTGACGATAAGCTCGAGGAGAGACGACCGCGACTCGAAGGCCTTGGTGCGCGTGACGCTCATCGACGGCGAGGACCCGGATGTGATTCTCGTCGACCTCATCGTGCACCAGCCGCCGGTGGGCCGCATCATCATTGACTACAAGACCAACGTCCATGGCCTCACGGGCGAGCTCATTTACAGCTCCAAGATTGACGTGGCCCGCGCGCGCAAAGAAGTGCTCAAGTACATGGGCCCCGACACGATCCTCGTCGGCCACAGTGTCGACGGCGATTTGGCGAGTCTGCTAATCAGTCACACCAACGTCATTGACACGGCGCTCATCTACAAGCGCATCGACGTGCCCGAGCTGAGGAGTACGCCGGGCCTTCGCGACCTCACGCAGCAGCTGCTCAAAATCGAGATGCCGCCGATCCACGACTCGTTCTTGGACGCCAAGATGACGATGCTCGCCGCCACGTATGCGCTCACAAACCCGGTCGGCGAAGTGATCGCGTACGAAGCGCCCACATCGAAATGGGGGCCGCCGACGCCGGTGCCCATGGCTGTCGGAAAGCCAGCCGCTGCCCCGGTGACGATGCCGCCGTCCGTCAAGACGATCACGTCGCCGCCGTCCGTCGCGGCGACCACGTCGGCCACGCCCAGCGCCGTTGTGGCACTCCCGCGCCCGAGCGACAACGACGGCCTGGCC